GATTCAGTAAGGACCAAGCTGCTGGCTGGAGGAGGCCCGGGAAGCCCCGGGAACAGAGCCTTGTGCGCCTCAGGAGTTCTTTCAAGCAGCATCCAGACCGTCCGTTGGCATTGACCCTTGGCTCCTGAAGAAGGTTGTCGAGTTGGTCCGAGGGCTGGGAGTGCAGTTCACTGGAGTTGCAAGTCTCCAGCAGCAGGACAAGGGACTAGTAATCTTACACTTAAACCAATAGGTGAACCAGACCAAACCCCTAGAGAGGCACCTGTGTGTGAAATCTGTTTCTCTGGACAGCCTTACAAGGGCATGAAATTAAAACATGGCTGGTCTTCATTTATGAGAAGTATTAAGTTACATGAAAATGAAATTAATTCGGGAAGTAAGGTCATTCAGTTGCAGAACACTTCACAGTGCTTTAGGCTTAACTGTCATTGATGGGTGTGTCTCAGAACTTCTCCAGGTATGTGATACAGCAAAGCTTCATCATTTTGAATGAACCAGGAAGCTCATTTCTAGTTAATGCAATGTTAGAATTATAGAACCATATGAAAAGTACGATTTTATGTCAATTACTTGGAAACTATTGTCATAATTAGGTTTGAGCAAGACAGTTATCGACTTCCTTTTTATAAACTTTCAGATCTTTGAACCTGGCTTGAATGAGTACAAGAATGAAGTCCATATGTTGTTTCTGGGTAAGAAGGCTCAGTATGTTAACTACCCTACCTTTAATATTTTTTCAACCAGATTTACTTTAGCAGACACTTTCTTCATAAAAAGTGCATAGACCTGTAATTAATGACCAGTTCCGTCATAGAATCTAATGAATGAAGTGTTTTGTACATCCTACGTGAGTCAGAAAATACCGTTTTCATTTCAGGTGGCAGTACTCCATTAATCTGCCCTATTAACAACTAGTAAATACAGGCAGGCCTTAGTAATAGTGCAGTGTGCTTCCAGACTGCTGCAATACAGCGAGTACTGCAAATACTGCAATAAAGCAAGTCAAATGTTCTGGTTTCCCAATGCATATAAAAGTTATATTTATAGTCTACTAAGTGTGTAATATGTTGTGTCTAGAAAAACTGTGTATATAAATTAATTTGAAAATACTTGAGTGCGAAAAAGAACGCTGACCGTCACATGAGCTTGCAGTTGCTGTGCTGGTGAAGGGCCCCACCTCGGCTTTGAGGCTGATGATCGGGGTGGGTGCTGAAAGGTGGGGTGACCGGCAGTTTCTTAAAGTAATATAACAATGCAGTTTGGCGCATTGACTGGCTCTTTCATGAATGATTTCCCTGTAGCAGGTGATGTTGTTTGGTAGCATTTTACCCACAGTAGAACTTTCAAAATTGGAGTCAGTCCTCTCAAACCCCGCCACTGCTTTATTGTCCAAGTTTATATAATATCCTAAATCTCCTGTTGTTATTTCAACAACCTTCACAGCATCTTCACCAGGAGTAGATTCCATCTAAAGAAACCAGTTTTGCTTGTCCATAAGAAGCAAATTCTCCTCTGTTCAAGTTTGATCCTGAGATGCAGCAACTCAGACCCATCTCTAGGCTCCGTACTAGTCCCAGTTCTCATGCTGTTTCCCCCACATCTGCAGTTATTTCCCCCACTGATGTCTTGAGCCCCTCAAAGTCATCCACAAGGTCTGGGATCTTCTCCCAAACTCCTTTTGATGTTGATATTTTGATCTCTTCTCATGAACAATGTTTTGAATGGCATCTAGATGGTGAATCCTTTCCAGGGGGTTCTCAGTTGACTTCGTCCATGTCTGTAGGAGGAGTCACTATCTAGATACACGTGCTGTCATCCAGGTTTTGTTGTTCCATTTCTAGAGCACAGGCAGGTAGATCTAGCTTGATTCTTAAGGCCTCATTTCAATATTGCTGTGCCCCCGGGATTAGGGAGGCCCCAGGAGAGGGAGAGAAATGGGGGAACGGCCGGTAAGTGGAGAAGTCAGAACACACAACATTCAATTGCATTCACTATCTTATGTGGGCACAGTTTGTGGCACCCCAAAACAAATAACAATAGTAACATAAGCATTATTTAATAATGGAAAAGTTTGAAATATTGTAAGAGTCACCAAAATGTGGCAGAAATGAAGTGAGCAAATGCAGTTGCAAAAATGATGCTGATGAACTTGCTCATTTCCGGGTGAAACAAGCCTTAAGTTTGTAGAAAATGCAGTATCTGAATGTTAATAAATCAAGGTGTCCTTGCATGTAACATGTGTAAGAACGTAAGGTTGAAGTTCTAGTTTTATAGAAAATTGTTTTTCAGTGCACAGAGGAAAGGAAACCCGCATCACCTTGCGTAGCCTTCTTATGTAAATTGGATGTATTGGCTCTTTTGCCCATTCAGGTGTTAGGCTGTGTCTTTGCCAAAATGATAGGAGGTGGCGGTTTTGCCATCTGTTTTTTTTCTTAATACTCTATACCCGTGTTTTTCCATATGCATTTCTAGACACACAGTGAGGCTGAAATTTAATACGTACCAAACTTCGGTGCAGATGTGGGGAGGCACGGGTGCTTTTCAGCCTGACCTCACTCTCCACTGGCAGGGGGTGGGGGCCAGGGAGGGTGCTGATAAACTCGCAGCCTTGCTCGTAGAGGATTGCCCCTACTCCTAGATGCTCCGTCTTAAAGGAGGAGACTGCAAAGGGCGCCGATAGTTGTTTATAAAATGCCATCATAAAGCCCTCAGGCTCCAGATAGTTCTGATTAAATTCTGTAATGACCTTAATTTCTCTGACTAAATAACTTCATTAAATTTTCTCCTGCCTTCTGGACACAAGTTTGGAAGACAGATTAAATTCCAATACCTTATATTCTATTCATTGGGCATGACAGAGTTTCTTAAAAAGTTTAAATGATAATAAAGATAAATTGCAGACTCTAGTTTATCCTCAAAGCTTAGACATTTTCTGTAGATTAGAATTCATTTCATTTGTGAATGAAATATGGCTGCTTATGTAAAACAATGAATCTTATTCAACTCCTCCAGGCTTGGAAGAGATTGTTGGAATTTGGGACTTGGGTGAGAAGTTTTATTCTAACTACTCTAATAGCATAAATGTGAGAAGGTTTTCTGGAAGCTAAAAAGTTTTATCTTAAATTTGAGAGACTTTTTTTTTTTATGGAGAATGAGATAGTATCATGCCTACCTAAACTTCTCCTGTGTATTTTGATCCTTTGCTGTAGAAGCACCACCCAGCCGGAGCCATTGAGAAGGCATGTGTGCCTTTTGAAGGAAATTTTGTATGTGGACTCAAAAGAGAGCCACTCCAGCAATCTTCTCAGCCATTAAGATTTCCTGTTTCTCTTTAGCTTGAGGATTACTGCTCACATTGTGTGGACTGTAGAAGGAATGATAGTATCTAGTACAAATAACAACGTAAAGTTTCTGCTCAACATAAAGTTTAATTGTAGAGTAAATGTCAAAATACCTTAAGATCAGAGTGAAAGAGCATATGTATTCCTTTAAATTTTGGTAGTTGCTCAGTTCCTTCTGCCACTCATTCATTCACTTTATTTAATGAGCATTTGCTGGCAGATGCTGGGTATGCAGAGGTGAAGGGGTGGTGGCCCCTCCTCCCGAGAGGCACCAGCTGCCAAATGCACGGTCACTTACTTCGGTTGTTTTTATTTCTTTTCATCAACATCTGTCTTCCTGGAGATCTGGGAAGTACTGGGAATACACAGGAAGAAGACAGGAATAGTGTTTTCCTGTTTGGAGTTGTTCTCTAGCCGAGTAATAAAAGTCAGCATGAATGAAATAAACGACCAACACTGAGCTGAACTTTTCAGAGTAGAGCTACCAGTCATATTAGTACAGAGGCATACTCCTTTGGTGAGAGGCTTAAATGAAATAAAATCAGAGATTTTCTTTTAAATAGACAAATATTTTTAGAGCAGTTTTAGTTTCACAACAAAATTGAGAGACAGGTACAGAGATTTCCCATATTCTCACTGCCCCAGTGTATACACAGCCTCGCCCATTGCCAACATTCTTGACCAAACTGGTACATTTGTTACAAACGATGAATCTATACTGACATGGAATTATCACTCAGAGTCCATATTTTACCCCAGACTTCACTCTTTGTGTTGTACATTCTGTGGGTTTGGACAAGTGTGTGATGCCAGGTATCCGTCATTGTAGTGTCATGCAGAGTATTTCCCTGTCCCTAAAGTCCTCTGTGCTGCCCCTCCCTCTCTCCCCTCCCCCCAGCCCCTGGCTCCTGGCCCCTGGCAGCCAATGATAGATTTAGCCTCTCCTTTTCCAAAGTGCCATATAGTTGTAATCATACATTGTGTAGGTAGCCTTCTCAGACTGGTTTCTTTCACTTAGATTTATTAAAGGTTCCTCCATACTTTTTTCAGTCATTATTGTTATTGCTAATATTAGTCTTCCTGAGGTCATTTTGGGGTTGCTGAGAAGACAGTGGTGTTATAAACTTAGTGATAGCAGGAACATGTATGATATTTTCTGTATTCTCCCTGGTACTTAGTACCATGCTTTTACATAATGCTGGCTCAATACATTTTTGTCACAAACTAAACAATTTTGGTACTTAATAATCTGGGTTTTCTATCTTCTTAAATTGTGTTTTATGAAACAAAACAGTTATAATTATGTTTCAGTCCAAAAAGAAGTTTGATGATACATATATATGACATATCTATGATATATATACACAAAGGAAATATACACATACAAAGGTTACGTACCCACCTAAAAAAAAAAGTCGTCTTAAATATATGCAGCCTCCACTTACTGAATGACTTCTTAAGGGAAATGCAAGTGTTGGCTCCGCTCCAGGTTAGCTCATCCCGGAAGCCACCTTAGAGGTGGGAGGCTGGGGTGCAGGGCTCCATTAGCCAGTGCTGTGTCCCCCCCTGTGAAAGGAGGTGCTGGACGCCCAGGGCACTTGAGCTGAGAGGCGGTGTCTGAGGTCCTCGGCCAGCTGCACAGGGATCCCTGGAGCCGGTATGGCCCTTCAGAGAGTTCCAGGTTGGCGCGGACAGGCTGGGCCTTTCTGCTGCTGTGCTGGCCACTCCCCGTGTGCAGGCCGACCCTGGTGGTGGGCTTGACCTCGGGTGAGGTGGCAGGCACCCCCACCAGGGTCTGACCCTGGGGAGTCCTGCGCCAGCTCTCCCAGCAGCCAGGAGGAGGTCCTTTAGTCCTGAAGGGCTTCTGGGTGGTTTCCACGGCGTCCACTGCACCTCCGAGACGTTTGCAGTAAGTGCTCCAAAACCAGCTGTTCTTGACAAGAGACTTTTCTGTTGGCCATTCTTTTCTTACTTTTCCTGCTGAAGAAAGTCTGTTTAAGGAGTTTGTGCTGATACCATCTACCAGAAACCTTAAGTCTTTCCTTTAACCCAATTTTATCAGCTTTTAATTCCTTTCCTTATAGGATATCTGCTGGGCCAAAACTTTGACATGATAACTTTGGAGTTATCTAGAAACATCAGGTGTTTGGCATCTCTGATCCAATCCCCACAATTTTACTCTCCTTCCCTTTGAAACCATGCCTGATGAGGTTCTGAAGGAAGTCAGTGCCAGGGAGAGCCTTCACAGTAACTCAGGCTTGGGAGCTCCTGAATTTGAAACCCTCTTTATTAGGACATTCTATTTGACACTCAACTTCCATCCTTCATCCCATGATTGATGAGAAAGTTACTTGCTCTCTTGGGCTGCCTGCTATCTGTCCCAGCAGATGTCTGTCCTTTGTATGAAGCTGGAGGTGGGGAGACCCACCTCCACCTACTCATTGGGGCCTTTGGGTGGCTGGAGCTGCAGTAGTGTCAGGATGGTGGCCTGCCTCCTGTGCCTTGTCCTTTGTGTGGGACAGGCCGTGTTCCCAGCAAACGCAATGCCTGAGTTGCATTTAAAGTAAGTCAGACCCTATATGGCAAATAACCTCCTTGTTATCTCTGGCTCTGCAGGCAAATTGGGTGGTCATTTTGTTGTACGGTGAACAGGGAGCTGGTGTAAGTGGAAGCGATCGGTAGAGATGAAAGTGGAATACGGTATTTGTTCTTTTTAAAAAAGATGCACGATCTTCCCTTAAAGCCCTGTGCCCTGTAGAACTGTGGCTTCAGCCCTGTAAATGTCTTGCTTTAGAAAATGTCCTTTGATGTAATTCTTCTTTGCTTTTAAGTGATTGATGATGATTGAGTGATTAACAATTAAATCAACTGCATTTTGGTTTTGTGCCTCTTTAAAACATTCTCTAATGATGGGTTTTTTAATGGTTTTTCTTGATGCTATCTAAAATTCCCATGTTCTCAAGTGAAACATACTCCTAGCTGTGCCCTGTGTGGGTACTTCCAGCCTAATTTTCCTGTGGTCTCAGTATTGTTTCTCTGAGCTTTCTTTCCACTGTCTTGTTCTGCATTCTCTGTTTTCTCACTAAATTATGTTCACTGTGATATAGACCCTTCTTGTGGAAAAAAATCTCAAAGTTATTATATAACTTTTCTAACATGTCATGTTTTTGTCAATAAATGATTTTAGAAGCAAGTTTAAGGGGAAGCGTAACAATTTTCAAAAACTTTATGCAAGCATGCTCAATGTAGGAAATAAGGAAAACCAAGAAAAATCACCAAAAATCACACCATCTTCTTTCCTTGTCATTCCTATGCGCTTTTAAATACGATCACATGGTAGAATTTGTATATATATATAAAAACTAACATTATATCATGAGGATTTTCCACCAGAATTATTTTTAAGGATTTTTATGGTTATGTACTCTTCACTTGTGTGAGTGCAGCATCATTTTCTTGACTGTTCTCTCATTATAGGCATTCTGTTTGTTTCTGGTATATTTGCTGGGATATGCTGCAGTGAGCATTTACGCATAATGCATTTTTCTGTAATCAGAATTACATCCCTAGCATATCGTCCCAGGTTGGAAATTTTGCAGTCAAAAGGAATGAATACTTTAATGATTCTCATACACACAGCCAGATGGCTCTAAAAGGAGCTCTGCCAGCGGTGGGTGCTCTTTCCTAGGAGAGAGTCCAGGGTCAGTGTGGCCCTAAAAGGGTTAAGAACCACCGATGCATGTTTATAAAAAGGTATTTTATGTTTCCTGAGGTCATTACTGCCTTTTAGCTTTCTGGAATTCCACCTGGAACAAGCATAGCCTGAAGCAGATGTGCAAGAAATTTGTTACAGATATGATTTTTGTGAGGTCTACCTGTGATCAAAACTGGGGATGCTTCTCAGGAAGAACATGACTTTGGGGTGGGGATGGTGGCAGCTCTTCCTTAGTATCAATTTGAAAAACCCTATTTTGTTTACTTAGTATTTGTCAGTGGCAGACATAGAAGATATTTGAAAACCATTCTATGTTTCCATAAATCAGAACAGCAAGCATAGCTGCTCAGTTTAATGGTCCTATGTAATTCTTGTTTTCCTCTGTAGACATAAAAATCGTATGAGTGTATCAGTCTAAGGTATGTCGCGTTTTCCTATATCCTAGTACTCACCCATGCCGGTGGACCTCATAGTAAGTTATTACTACTTTCTGAAGGATCAATTGGATTTCCAAAAGTCATTTCCATTAAAGAGCCTTTTCTGAACTATTTTATTAGTGATTCTAGTTAATAGTATTGAGTTGTTTTGAAAATAAAGGGTATTTTTATTGAAATGAACTTACTGAAATTAACAGTGATTCTAAGCACTCTTTTTAGGTTTTAGCATTTTAAAAAATCTTGAAGATCGCCATCATTTTATACAGCTAAAGGGCATGAAAAACTTGAGGACACTTTCCTATCCAGGGAGAGTGATGGTTAAGAACACAGGCTCTGGAAGCAGCGATCCTGGTTTGAAGGGTGCCTCTGGCGCTCCTCGGCCTGCGGCTTTTGGCAGGTCACTTGCTCTGGGCTTCAGCTTTGTCCCCTGCAGGGCCGGTAACGGTGGTGCCCAGCTCAACGGGTCATCGCAAGGATGGAAAGAGAGAGGTGTGCTGCACTGGAATGGTGCTCGTTCCAGGGTGTGGGTTCCTGGGCCTCCTTCTGACCCTGCCGTCGTCCTCACCAGGACAAGTCTGCATTCCGTAAACATTTCCAGTGATAAGCGGATTCGCCGTTTAACGGTCTCTTCCGTTTTCCTGTTAAGTTTGGAGATTCTGCACCAGCTTTGCTGATGTTGGCAGCGCTCTGACGCCTTGCCAAGCTCCCCTGGCGCGGGCTGTCCGAGCAGCACGCCTCCCTTCCCCTTCATTCATAGACCCCAGAGTGAATGTGTTGCCTTCCTTCATTGTTCCTGGTCAAGTAGAAAAACAAAAAGACCTAATGACTTAGAGTCAGCAGAAGATTAAGTCCAAGTAGAACTGCGGTGTTGGCTAGACTCGGCTGTCCCGAGTACAGCGCATGTTACCTCCAGAACCCCGCCTTCACCTGCAGAGGGCATCGGTTTTCAGCTGAGCGGCTCTGGCAGCGCCTGTGCGGCCCAGTGAAGCTGGTTGGGATGTGTTAGGGCACTATATGGCAAATAACCTCCTTGTTATCTCTGGCTCTGCAGGCAAATTGGGTGGTCATTTTGTTGTACGGTGAACAGGGAGCTGGTGTAAGTGGAAGCGATCGGTAGAGATGAAAGTGGAATACGGTATTTGTTCTTTTTAAAAAAGATGCACGATCTTCCCTTAAAGCCCTGTGCCCTGTAGAACTATGGCTTCAGCCCTGTAAATGTCTTGCTTTAGAAAATGTCCTTTGATGTAATTCTTCTTTGCTTTTAAGTGATTGATGATGATTGAGTGATTAACAATTAAATCAACTGCATTTTGGTTTTGTGCCTCTTTAAAACATTCTCTAATGATGGGTTTTTTAATGGTTTTTCTTGATGCTATCTAAAATTCCCATGTTCTCAAGTGAAACATACTCCTAGCTGTGCCCTGTGTGGGTACTTCCAGCCTAATTTTCCTGTGGTCTCAGTATTGTTTCTCTGAGCTTTCTTTCCACTGTCTTGTTCTGCATTCTCTGTTTTCTCACTAAATTATGTTCACTGTGATATAGACCCTTCTTGTGGAAAAAAATCTCAAAGTTATTATATAACTTTTCTAACATGTCATGTTTTTGTCAATAAATGATTTTAGAAGCAAGTTTAAGGGGAAGCGTAACAATTTTCAAAAACTTTATGCAAGCATGCTCAATGTAGGAAATAAGGAAAACCAAGAAAAATCACCAAAAATCACACCATCTTCTTTCCTTGTCATTCCTATGCGCTTTTAAATACGATCACATGGTAGAATTTGTATATATATATAAAAACTAACATTATATCATGAGGATTTTCCACCAGAATTATTTTTAAGGATTTTTATGGTTATGTACTCTTCACTTGTGTGAGTGCAGCATCATTTTCTTGACTGTTCTCTCATTATAGGCATTCTGTTTGTTTCTGGTATATTTGCTGGGATATGCTGCAGTGAGCATTTACGCATAATGCATTTTTCTGTAATCAGAATTACATCCCTAGCATATCGTCCCAGGTTGGAAATTTTGCAGTCAAAAGGAATGAATACTTTAATGATTCTCATACACACAGCCAGATGGCTCTAAAAGGAGCTCTGCCAGCGGTGGGTGCTCTTTCCTAGGAGAGAGTCCAGGGTCAGTGTGGCCCTAAAAGGGTTAAGAACCACCGATGCATGTTTATAAAAAGGTATTTTATGTTTCCTGAGGTCATTACTGCCTTTTAGCTTTCTGGAATTCCACCTGGAACAAGCATAGCCTGAAGCAGATGTGCAAGAAATTTGTTACAGATATGATTTTTGTGAGGTCTACCTGTGATCAAAACTGGGGATGCTTCTCAGGAAGAACATGACTTTGGGGTGGGGATGGTGGCAGCTCTTCCTTAGTATCAATTTGAAAAACCCTATTTTGTTTACTTAGTATTTGTCAGTGGCAGACATAGAAGATATTTGAAAACCATTCTATGTTTCCATAAATCAGAACAGCAAGCATAGCAGCTCAGTTTAATGGTCCTATGTAATTCTTGTTTTCCTCTGTAGACATAAAAATCGTATGAGTGTATCAGTCTAAGGTATGTCGCGTTTTCCTATATCCTAGTACTCACCCATGCCGGTGGACCTCATAGTAAGTTATTACTACTTTTTGAAGGATCAATTGGATTTCCAAAAGTCATTTCCATTAAAGAGCCTTTTCTGAACTATTTTATTAGTGATTCTAGTTAATAGTATTGAGTTGTTTTGAAAATAAAGGGTATTTTTA